GGTTTTAGCTAGTTATTTTAAGACTGGCCTCCTGGTTGGCATCAATAATTGAGAATGTATTTGTTTATATACTACATTAAAGAATTAGGTAGGATTGAGCTTGAGTGACGGATTAAGAATACAGAGAATATCACCACCCCTATTCATCCCCGAGAGGAGAAATATAATTACCTATAAGGGAGAAAATTACGCAGAACAACAGCACTGAAGAGAGAAAGAAAACTTGACACAAACCCTATACGAACCCGTCTGGCCAGCGTGGTATAATAGGACAAAACCTTCTTTCTAAGGAGAGGCCTATGTCCAACAGTGGACTATTAAAGGCTGTTGATGTGATGTGTGACGATGATGATGAGCAAGGTAAGCCGGTGCTTTAGTAAGGTATGCTGTACATCTTGGATGGGAAAACGGGAATAAAACTGCAGTATCTATTACGATTATGTTCGTTCTGTGATTATAGAAGTTACTGGGACAGGCATATGGACTGGTTAGTACTCGACTACGCCACACTCACAAAACTCTCCCTCCTGACATTTCCTCTCTCGACGTTTTGGGAGTGTATGGTTATTTATTGCTTTGGCACCTCTGTAGCCTAAACGGCTTGGTGGATTTTGGAGTTTGAGGTATCGTTTCATTCGTCTTGTGAAAGTGACACTGGGTTTATGAAACCTGGGTTTACTATACCACGCTGGCCAGATGGGTTGGTAAAAGGTTTGCTTTCTTTTTGAATTGCTATTGTCCTGCGTAGTTTGCTTCCTAAGTCGGCTTTTACGACACCCACGGGATGAATAAGGGTGGTGACACTCCGTATATTTAATCCGTCACCACACAGACATTTTTTTTTATTAATCACAATATGATAATTTTAACGTTATGTATATTTTATAATTTATGATTACATATGATTAAATAAGTTGATTGGAAGTACTCACTAGTTCAATAATATACTCGTAGACCACGGTCACGGTCACGGTCTATATTTATATCGTTGGCATAGTAAACAAGGGGAAATTTATGACGCGGTACCCTAATATACCATGTAACTTATTGCCGAAATGGAATGCCTATTCTATCGACGAATAACTCACTATTCAAAGTGAAATATGGGCAACAAATACCTGAAGTTTCCGACCCTTACTGAAAATGAATGAAAGAAGTCGTACCAAAAAGGAATAACTTTAGTTATACACAGTGTCATGTGTTAATAATCCCTGCCGCCAGTTTTATTGACAGAACGATACAACCTTTGACCCTTCAAGTAAAGAGCGTTGTCCCATATCAAAGGACGGCAACGCATTCAACCTGCTATTACTCAAGAGTGCTTTGAGTTGTTGGCGGCAGTCAGCCAACCCGTGTGCTACTTGTCCCCATCAAGAAATAATCCTATTTGATACTCATAGAAAGAATTAATAAACGTTCATGTCCCTTTTTTGTTTTAAAAAGACAACTCCCGCACTAGGAATATTTCCTGGTTCACAGGGGACTTTACAAACATACATGAAATGGACACGAAGAATACAGAACAACAATTTGTGTATCACGCAAAGTGTTGTCCCATGTGGGAGGTGCGAGCGGCGAGGTGATCGCATAAACCACTACGCTATCCGTGCAGTCAGAAGACGAGGTTGGTTCTAATCAAGAATGAGAACGCATTAAAGTCCTTGTAGGATGCAGTAAGGAGGTATATGTTAGTGATATTTCAGAACCAGAAAGAAAATAGGAGGACTATAACTATTCCGTTTTGTAGAATACGTAACCAGTGAAGTAGGATGTTAAACGATTTTCGACCATAAGTACTTATGGTCGAAAATCGTTTAACATTTTTATACATTATATAAACCTCCAAAAAAAATAGTTGAGGAAGGATCACTATAAAAATGGTATCCTTAAATTGCAGGTATCCGATAATCGCTTACCTACTACTACTACTAAAAACCTGGAGTACTAAGTGCCGGGGGTTCCCTACACTAAGTACTCCAGGTTTTAAGGAGGAACCTTGAGGTTCAAGGTACACATACACCATCCACATCTACATGCTGAAGATGGCGCAGGTTACGTCGAGGTATCAGGGATTTCCTTCCTAGGGTACATCTGGTTCCCCGGCTACTGGTACCTGAGACGGGAACGGCGTCGGCCCGAGTCCGATATAACCACTAGTGGGTGGCATCCGTGTAGGTTTCCGAACACAAAAAAAAAACCGGTCATGTACGAGTCGAACTCGTGCTCCGAGGGTTCCGATTTTACGTAGATTTTCGAGAAATTTTGTAAGTACCAAAATTTATCTTAATTTTCAACTTTTTTGTTTTTTGGAATCTTTCCTTTATTTTGTGCTGTAAGACGTTTCTTTTTGCCAAATTTTGTGATTCTAGGTCAACAGCAACTACCAAATAGGTTTTCAACCCAAAACCTATAGGGTACTTCCGGTTGACCTAGAATTGTCAATTTTGGTTAAAAGCAAGGTCTTACAGCACAAGTAAAGACAAAATTCTGAAAAATAAAAAAAGTTGAAAATTCAAGTAAATTTTGGTACTTACAAGTTTTCGCGAAAATCGAAATTTGCCAATATCTTTTAATCGTGTTGACTATATACACCTATATACACCTAATAGGGACCATAGACCTCAGCATCTGGTATAAATTTCAATTTGCTCGGTCTACCGGTTCCTGAGAAATTCGGTGGTGACACAGGGACAGAAGGACAGACGGACAAAAAAGTGATCTTATAAGGGTTCCCATTTTTACCTTTTGAGGAACGGAACCCTAAAAAGGGTACTGTTGCGCCATAGGATTAAATGATCGATTAAGTACATCTATTAGGTTAGATTAGTACCACAATCTGTGGTTAATACGAGTAGTTCTGATCTGCAAGTAACGCGTGACTGATTCTGGAATATTCTTGTTTGTCTGGAACGGACTATCAAATACTAGGAATCTTTCTAGTAAAATTCAAAAGCACTATAAAAGCGGAGCGTGTTGGCCGTTAGATACAGTATCGTTTTACGACACAGCAAATTAACATCGGAGTGAACTTTTAGTGCGTCTAACGAGATATATAGTGATGTCTAGTTTATTTTAGTGAGTGTTAGTAAATACAGTGCAATAAAAGTAATTAACCGACAACTTTTATTTATTACATACCCGCTCGTAACAGCACTCAGTTTGTGCCGTTCAACTTACGGTTCTTCCAGGTATTTTTGTAGTGTCTATTTCCGAATACCTCAAGGCTGACTACTTAGATATGCGATGCGATGCGTCATAATATAAACTTCTTTGATCCCACCTTAAAGTTGAACTGGAGTTTCTACATAAAAATGGTTACGAGATGTGAAAGAAAACCAACGAATCAATTTTTTTATTATTTATATTTATATACAAATAATATCACATAACCTTTGGTTCAAGTTTACAAGTAAGCTCTGCTTATAAATTAACGAAGATCTAATTACGACAATATAAACATCTTTAGTTTAAATTACCCGTTTTAATATTTCTATATACTTATTTTATGATATTATGTCATTATTCATTACGAAAAATAAAACGATATTTTATATAATTTATAATTTAGGTAATTAATTAATAAAAAGTTGTTACTGTACTTTTTACAATAGTTCGTAATTAAAACATTACTTGAGAATTGATCAAAAAGTCCCTAAAAGCTGCTGGGATTAATAAACAATAAATACATTCGAGAGCAGTGATCCTTGTCACCTAAAGAGAAATCTTGAGGCTACCAAAATGCGGGTTCAGTATAGTTATAGTAAATTGATATGTTACTTTGTGCTATATAAGAGAATGTTAATCTTATTAGAAAACATAAGTGGGAAGTCACTGTATTATGAAACCTTTTTTTCAAATTTTAATGCCTTAAGTATCTCCACGTGCTGCAATCACTGCTATTACTGAGGTTACGCAGTTTGGCATGCTATACGCCAAGTTTCTTATAAACTCAAACTCGAAAAAAAATAAGTTTAAAATCGTCTTTTATGTAGACTAAGTCAGTGTCCGTGTCCGTGTGGTGACGGATTAAGAATACAAATTGTCACCAGTCCCAATTCATCCCGTGGGTGTCGTAAGAGCCGACTAAGGGAGCAAACTAAGCAGGACAACAGCACTGCAGAGAGAAGGAAAACTTGAAATAAACTCTATACCAACCCGTCTGGCCAGCGTGGTATAGTAGGCCAAAACCTCCTTTCTAAGGAGTGGCCTATGTCCAGCAGTGGACTAGTATAGGCTGTTGATGTGAAGTCATAGATCAACACACACAAAAGCAACAATCTCTGTTTTGTCAAATAGTAAGCAAATAAATTTAACAAAAATCAAACCCATACAAAATCTACGATATGCCTGTGCCGATCTACAACCGCCCGTTGCCAAGGGATTGAGCCTTATGAGAAGAAAGGGCAAACAAACTCTTGGCCATATATGATGTTAGGATATATTCTAGTAATTTTGAGTTCCCGGAGCGTGATCGGGGGAGGGTTTCGTTATCTCACTGTCCGTGTTAATCTCAAACAAACAACAAACGGGCTGTGTACAACCAAATGACTGCTTCGGTGGTGCAATGGTAGTGTATGCGACTGCTGTGCTGAGGTCTCAGGATCGATTGCCGGGTTGGACCAAATGTTAGTATGATCTACAAATATTTGTTTCGGAGTTTGGGTGTTTTCTATATATAATATGTATGTATTTACAAATAAAAAAGTGTGTAAGTATTTTTATCAGTCGATCTAGCTGTCATAGCACAAGCTCAGCTTAGTTTAAAACTAGTTGGCGTTGTGTGTCAGTTGTCTGAAATATTTATTTATACATTGAACATAAGTTCATCTTTGAAAGAAGTTATTTACAATCTGACCAGGATTAACTGCTCTTGATATTTAAAATCTTAAAACTAACACTATCATAATTTTAAAATGTTTTTATAATTACTTGACTAGTTCTTTTGAGAAATACTATTTTATAAACCTAAAACACCACTAAAGTTCCTATCTCTGTTTTATTTACAAAAATTTGGGTGACTTCTGACAGCGGTGATCTTTCCACCCATTTTCCCTTAAAGAGGAGTTCCTCTCCGGTCGCCTGTACTGTACACTGGTAGATCTAGTCCTCCCAAAGTTGTGATTGCTACTCCTGAAAGTGACAGTAGTCCCGGTTCGCATGCTAGACATGTTTGATTTTTTTCGTAACCCTTGCATCTGAAATTTAAAGCATAATTCGTTGGAAATGATTGGTTTTAGATATTTTTTTTACTAACAACATGAACCTAATTTAAAGAGAGCTTCCATTCTGTGTATGGTATTGAAAGAACTTACGTGGAAGTGAGTATTGGAGTGCATGTTGCCAGGATCGTGACAGATCAGCTTACGCAGTGAGCGGCGAAAGTTACGCGTCATCAGGCAGTACACGATCGGGTTTATAGCTGAGTTTGTGTGACCTGTGTACATAATATTAGGATAATTATGCCAAATTAAATACTTTATTTGGTGTATAATATAGTGTTATCTTCTTATTTATTTATTTGTATACACTTTCTGCATAATGCAGTCAACAAGCCAAGTGTTGTGTAGAGATGTGTGTGGTAGGTGTATATTTCAAACTATTGTAGATATTATTAAAGTAACACGGTATTAGGATTAATTAATCTACATACATATACTAGGCAGACGTATAATACATACTCTATAAATAGTATATCAAGGTGTGGATATAAACATACACACATATAGGACAATATATGTTCATAATATAATACACGTAAAAACTTAAAACACTCATAAAATTTAGATAGATGACTCCTTTAATAACTCCCCATAGAGTTTGTAAACTTTTAGTTTAAAAGTGAATCGGTTAGTGGATATCCTGATTTCGTGTGGGAATTCCAAAAACAACGAAGGAAGAATGAATCATATTGGAATTGTTGAAAGGATAAAGAACTCGTTTATATTTGAAACAATATCTTATAATATCATCATCATCATCATCATCATCATCAGCCTATCGCAGTCCACTGCTGGACATAGGCCTCTCCCATTGCACGCCACTTAGATCGATTTTGGGCTTCTCGCATCCAGCTCCTGCCAGCCTGTATAATATATTGAAATAATAAAATCCTGACTGGCTACATAATAATTTCATGTTCACTTCAGTGTTGTATTTTTGGTGTTATAAAAGATTCACCATCATCTTTTTGCCCGTCTCCCAAACTAATTTGAGGCAGGCTAGTTTCTTTTAAGGCCAGCACTTTGCCTTACGCCAACCATCTTTGGGAAAGTAATTACTTTCAGATATGGTAAAGAAAAGAAGATATTGTTGAAAGGAAAATCGATATAGCGAGGAAGCTAGGGCAAGTGATGCCGTAAGATACAGGTGGAACTTAAACAGCTCAAATGTCCGCAATGCCTATTTCATTAATTAAACACAATCAACTTTAACTAAGCAATTAAACAGTGTGTGACTCTAATTACTTTATTTATATTTGGATACATTACATTCTCATGTTAAGTGATCTATATTACGCCTTGTTTACAAAGTACATCTTGGTGGTATTGGGCTCGACTGTAACCTGCTTACCTAGTAGCAAAGTGTACGGCAGTATGATAGACACAGACTCGACGTGCACGGCGTTGACGTCGATGAGCAACTGCAGGATGTTGTAGGGCAGCCAGCAAAGCGCGAACAGCACAGCCAGCAGTAGTAGTATCCACGCCACTCTCTTCCTTTCACGGACAATTCTAAGCCGCTATAACAGTAGAAAATAGGAATATTCTATTGTATAACTATAGTGCGTTATGTTTTGATAGATATTGCTTGTAACAAATATTTACTTCACATCAACAGCCTTTAATAGTCCACCGCTGGACATAGGCTTCTCCTTAGAAAGGAGGTTTTGGCCTACTATACCACGCTGGCCAGACGGGTTGGTATGGGGTTTGTGTCAAGTTTTCCTTCTCTTTGCAGTGCTGTTGTCCTGCGTAGTTTGCTCCCTTAGTTGGCTCTTACGATACCCATGGGATGCAAAGGCGTGGTGACACTCCGTATTCTTAATCCGTCACCACACGGATATCCCCTAAGTGTTTACAAAACCCTACTCGATATTCTTACAATCGCCATACCTATATAATGTACAGTACAAGTGGCAATCAAAAACTCCTTAAACTTTTAATATGATTTACCTACAGCAATAACGCAATAATTCTGAGCAATGATTCAAACAGAGTTTTATGGGCTATAATGTTGAAAGTGAAATTTATTATTATGCTATTATGGCAAATTTTATGGTTATGATTGCAATCGGATATAATTTGAACACGTTTTATATCATATAAATAGTGAGATAGGCTGACTGATCTCTGAATAATTTACTTTCAGGGTAATTAACCTCTAGGGTTACACCTGGTTCCCCGACTACTGGTACCTGAGACGGCGTGCGGTTTTAGTCGGTTCGAGTCCGACATTGCCACCGGTAAGTGGTATCCGAGGGGATTTCCGCACAGAAAAAAAAAAAGAAATAAAGGGTAATTAACCTGGAAAGTAGGCTTTATTTCTTGACTTATTACTATTAATTTCAAGTCAATACGAAATACTACTACTGTTTTATACTTCAGTTTGTAATATCGATGGAGGTTATAAATGTGTAAATTTATTATTACCCATATGAGAAGTAATTAACACAGCACCTAACTTCTCTTCTAAATTATGAAAAAGGAATGTACCTGTTGACTGTTTCCACTCCCTTCCGTTTGGTCAAACGGTGGCAGCACAGAGCACAATCTTCGTCCCATGAGAGCATACGATACCACTACTATACACCCTGGAACAAAATGCACGAATCACTCATACTAGCAAGCTATGGGAGAGCCATGCTTCGGCATATATGGGCAGCCTGTGATTTTAAAACCATCATCATCAACAGACTTTAATAGTAAACTGCTGGACATAGGCCTCTCCTTAGAAAGGAGGTTTTGGCCTACTATACCACGCTGGCCAGACGGGTTGGTATAGGATTTGTTTCAAGTTTTCCTTCTCTTTGCAGTGCTGCTCCTACAACATCCGCGTGATGAATAGGGGTGGTGACACTCTGTATTATTAATCCGTTACCACACGGATATATTATATTGTATTAATGGTATTTTACAAACATTTCAAAAAAAGTATTTTTATTTATCCCACGCATATATTTTTATTCACTGTCAACAGTTAAAATGGAAAACTAATTCTTCTATTCTATTCGAAAGTGGGTCAAAGCACTTGTGACTTTTAAGTTGCAAGTCGCTTTTGAGTTTAGGACAGACCGAATATCTGACTCTAACTCTTCTTGGAAATTAATTTTCAGAAGTACACAAGACAATGGAACAAGACAAGAACAAATAGGAAAGTTAGGTTAAGAATAACTAACAACTGAACAAGTGAGAATAAGGGATAGCATATACAAAACTAACCAAATGTGGTAACTTTTGAAGATTCTATTTGATAGATAAACACATCTGTACACGTCGTGTTATATCTTATTCCAATGTACAGATCCTTATCTTGCATAAAAATAATCCCACTAATTTTATTTATTTATATGACTTATTGCACAAGTTGTACACAGGCTGACTTATTGCCCAGGGAATTCTCTGCCAGTCGACCTTCGGGTGATGTAGAAAAATGATGCTGTAGGTCCAAGAGAAAACAGAGAATTTGACTTTATTTATATTAAATTTATTAATTTAAGATAAATCTAACTTACGTAAATATATTCTATAAATATACTATAAAGTTCGTGTGGCGACAGATTAAGAATACAGAGTGTCACCACCCCTATTCATCCCGTGGGTGTCGTAAGAGCCGACTAAGGGAAAAAACTACGCAGCACAACAGCACTGCAGAGAGAAGGAAAACTTGACACAAACCCTATACCAACCCGTCTGGCCAGCTTGGTATAGTAGGCCAAAAGCTCCTATCTAAGGAGAGGCTTATGTCCAGCAGTCTACTGTTAAAAGTTGTTGATGATGATGATAAATAAAATACTATTTTCATGACTATATGTATATACATAGAAGTTCCAAGTATACACATACAATACATAATCATACACATAGATAAATATCAAAATACACAGTCGGGGACTAGCGTTGTGAACTTTCTGCCAACTCATATTGAAGAAGATCTTGTATTTGCTTCTTGAACGTAAAACAGTTAGTGGACATTCTAATTTCAACTGGGAGCCCTAATTCTGTATGTAAATAAAAATGATGTTGTTTCTACGCATCATTCATTCATAAAACATTCCTTACGCATAGAAAATTTTGCTTGAAGCTCATGCCGTAGGCACTTAAGGCATTCTGTTTCATTTTTACTAGAAAATCGTTTCGCTCAGACCTAATAAGCCTAGAGTACATTAGGCCAGCGCCCAAGCAGATCAAATATCTAGCGCACCCTGACCTATTACCAAGCGCTAAAATACCACAGAAGTAATTTATTCTTGAATGTTAACAATCACCACGAAATCTGAGAACACCATTAACTAATGCGAAGCTAATGTGAAGCTGTTACAGGCATTTTATCACCCCATTTTCGTTTGTAGTTACTAATGACATCTCCCGCACTAGGAATAAATCATGTGTCGCAGGGGACTTTAGAAACATACATGAAACGGACACAAAGGACACCCAGATTCAGAACAACAATTTGTGGATCACACGGACGCGGTGAGGTGACCGCTTCAACCACTATGTGATAAAAATATCATATTGTAACCGAAAATTGAATCGGTAATCAGCTAGTCTTAGTAATACTTTACTATATTACAACGAAAATACCTTATTTGACATTTGTTCGAAAGTTGATGAATTGTGGCCGAACTTTTATTACGAGAATTGGCCTTCAGCTCGATCGAAGTGATACCACAGCTTCACAATTAACCGGTATTAAGCAATTTTGTTGATGTTATTCACTGAGTAAGGTTACCGGGTACCCAACAACTCTTCCCCCCCAAGGGTTAAGGGGGCGGTTGATAAAGACTGGCCACGCACTCCTGTTTCTTGAGTTTAAGTGTATAGGCAGCGGTACTCACTTAACATGAAGTGAATCATCTGCTTGTCATCAATTCATGTCCTCTATCGCATTTTTATGCGATAGAGGACATGAATTAATCAAGTTTTCCTCACATATATATACGTAATATCGGTCGTTGAAACATTGAATGTTTTACAAATGGCCCATTTGGTACTTCCAATCTGCCTTCAGAGCCGGGTCTTGCCGCGCTATTCCGTGGATGTGTTCTCGTTTAAAGTTAAGACTCGATTTGCGAGGAGACATAAAATAGTAAGAAGAATTGCAGTCTTAGGACTACTCGTAGAATTTTATGTTTAGAATTTTTAGTATTAGTGTTTTAGTGTCATTTTGTGACGAAAATTTAAATATTTAACTGCCAATAAAAATATATTCGTGGGATAAATATCGTATCAATATTGATGTGTTATTGTGTTGGTTTTATTTCTTCTCAAACTTTATGTAAGAGTTTATTCGTTCGCTTATGATGGATTTACATTTAAGTAAATTTCGAGTCTGAGTCAAAGACATGCTTTTCTTAGTATTTTTAGAAAAAAAAATATTCTTTTTCTTTAAAATTTTTGAAATGTTTGTAAAATACCAATAATATATTTGAAATAAACAACTAAATGTATTTTTCATTTATTTTTAACTCTAAATCAAATTCATATCCTAGACAAAAGAATCTGAAAATTTGTCAATTCTTCTTAACAATTGAAAAACTTTGATAGTCAATTAAATAATTTTATTTTCATTGTAGTATTCAATTAACTATGAACCGTCCTACCTGTCTCCTAAGACAAAAATACTTGTCTAAATTTTAAAACGACGTTAGCCTGTGACCAGGGTCAGTACAACTGGTCGAAACGTCAGGCATTTCAAAGATAATCATCATCATCATCAACAGCCTTTAATAGTCCACTGCTGGACATAGGACTTTACTTAGAAAGGAGGTTTCTTTGAAAGATATGTACGTATGTATTAAGGTGGCTGAGATAGTACAGTCTGGCATCGGTATGTTTATTTTCATCACATTAATTTTTAATAATGTTACTTGAACGTTTCTTTAATCATACTAATATTAGGTATAAATATGGCAGTGTGTCCATCCAACCGATTTAGATGATAATTTGTTTCAGAGATAGTTCGAGTCCTGGAAAAGGACATAGAATAGCTTTTATCCCAAAAATTGTCCTTTAAGGGGGTCAAAAGATAGTACAAAATAAAATAAAAATGTCTTCTTAGAAAATATCTAACAGTTTCGTATATATTTTTATTTAAAACTTTTCCCTCTGATGACTGAATAGAAAATACGAATATCGTCGAGTTTAATATAAGTTTTCGTGAGTTTAGAAACTTAGATATTAAATTTTTGAATTTATTATAACAGTAAATGGCTTTTCAGATTACTTGTTAATTAAATTATATGGTACAGCATAGATAAAGCCGTATATTGTAGACAAAATTATAATATATATTGTTATTTTACATACTGTATTAATAAATTTCTGTTTGTGTACTTTATTTTCTGAATATTTTGGTTGGATGGGCATTTATTGCAAAAATAAATATACTCACCAGGTATAGCGTAAACAAGGACAAAACTGAAGGCGCCAAACAACTCTTTTTTAATCAAGTTTGGCCATTTTTCTGTGCAGAACTCCATGCTGGGCTCCACCGAGACCTACAAAAGAAGTGGTCAATTTCGTCAAAATTGTAAGATGTATAATAAATATCTACGAAATACCCGAGGCATAAGTTTGGAAGAAGATTGTAGATTTTCGTGTAGAATTTTCGTCTATAAGCGTTTTAAGAATACTTTTATTAATATGCGAAGAAAATTCTTTGGACCCTTGGATTCTTTGAGCAAATATGGTCGACGGAAAAATATCACTTACTTACTTAACGTAAGAACTACATGTGGAAAAAGTGCAGAAAGATAAAAAAAATAACAAAATATGTTATGAAAAATATAATAAAGAAAAGGCTACAAACCTCGATGGTTTACTAGATATTTTAATCTTAGAATATAATAATTTAGTGCCAAAAACTGTGGTTCATTTATAAATGTTATATCGAGTACTGAATCAAATATTTCGCCAATATTGACGAGCAAATTTAAATTTAAATCACATCACATTATAAATCAAATTACATAGCAATCATATTGCAAAATTTATAAATTAAGATGCTTAAAAGGAAAGCCGATATTTCAACTAAATTGAAATAATATTGAAAATAATTATATATCTCACACCTCTCACAGACGGCCGTCTGATCCCAAACTAGGCAGTGCCTGTACTATGGTAACCAGACTGCTGATAAACATACTTGTATATTTTTAAATACATATATTTTTATAGATAAATTACAACCAGACACAGAGCAAATGACCGTGCTCATCACACAATATATGTCATGGGTGGGAATCGAACCCACGACCTCCGATTAGCAGTCAATCATTGTTATAATGTTAACGTTATAGACATAGAAATATAAAAGGATAATTAATATCAAATGATCTTATATTTAAAATTAGTAAACAGTGTTTTAATTTATGTTCTATGATATAAACGTTTGTACAAGATGGCGCAATAGTTTTCACCCGATGTTCTTTGACTGTATTGTCTTTAATAAATGAAAATCCATAGTTTTGCATTTGGACTGGTTTTATTTGATGACTATTTTTTATATTATATAGATATTTTTTAGAACAGCTGCTCCGGGGCCGCCCAGACCTGACGACCGGGAAATCAACGTATAAATTCACGTTGCGCTAATAATATCGACGAATAATAATAACAATTAATAAATAGTAAAAAAAATAATTAAACAATTAGTCCACGTTCTTGAGGAGTAATAGCGATTCAAGTCTTATATGTTTTTGTAGCTGTTTACTTCACAAATGCCAAAGCAGAACTGACATTTACCGCCATTTGCACAAATTATAGTTTCTTCCGGTAGGATAAAGACTTCTGCGCCACCTGTTTTATTGATAGTTCAAGTAATACCGGCCAACAAAAAAAAAACAAGATACTTGAAACAGTAGAAAATCGATAGGTGATCCCCAGTATTTATTTAAATCTTATGGACTTAGGATTATTAAAACAAGACAGGAAGCGTTTTAAATATATTTAAAAATATTTGTTTTTCTATTAAATATTGATTTTGAAATTATTCCCAGATTTTTTATTATAATACTTATGTTTATTCTTAGCTTTCTTCGAAACTGGGTAAAAAGGTTAACCCTTTGAGGTTTTGCATGTATTAAAGTTGTGAGAGAATTCAAATATTTACAACGAAGGAATGTCCGTTTCCGGGATGCGGTACAACTTGTGATGAGGGTTTGATCGGGGATGATTTTCCAATAAATTTACCACAAATATATCACTGACAACTAAGTACCAGTATGGAAACTAAAGATAAGTTTTTTGTTTTAATACCGATAAAACAGATAACTTAAAAGACGGAGGGTTACTGGGTAAGTCGACCTAGATACTTTAAGGAATTGTAGTTGTCATAATTTCTGATAGATTTCATTATGAAATCCCATATCCCAAACCATTTTCAAAATATTAGACTTCTGAGATTTTTTATAACAACCGCTGAAATTTTGCTTAATACACTTTCTTTGAACTTATATCCTTTATTTTATACATTTTTACTGTTTTGGTGTAGTTGATAAATTGTTTTATAATTTCAATTATTAAAATTGTAGTTAACTTAACAAACTGGGCCGAAGTAGATGGTTAATAATAAAAATTATCGAATATCGTAATAAATAAAGTAAAACTGCAGATTAAAGGATATGGCATTTCATAGTAAAATCAATCAGAAATGATGGCAACTACAACCCCTTGAAATATCTAGGTCGACTTACCCAGTAACCCTGTATGTGTCAAAAAATATGCTCACTATACTTTTAACTAAGCTAGTAAAATTATTTGCAACCGATACCCGTGATTTATCATCCCACGAGAACACTTCATGTTTCCGCAATAAAAAGTAGCATATGTGTTAATCCAGAGCGTCAGGTACCTCCATACCAAATTTTATCATAATTGTTCTAGGCGTTTGAACGTGAACAGGTAACAAACATATAAACACACTCACAAAATTTCGCTTTTATAATATTTTTCACATTTTATAATATTATCCCATTATCAGATCCTGATTTCGTGATAATGTAAGTACCTTCGGAGTATACCATTTCCGGGAGTATAAAAAAAATACAGCCGATTTCTGTACTATATTTATATTTAATGTGTATGTTACTATATTTTTATTTAAAAAGTATTATCAAAATTCTGAATGATTCAGTTAATATCTCTCATTCATTCCATTAAAATCATTCATTCTCAAAGATAAGAACCAACAAATGTTTGCATTTAGATAGCCCGAAAGAAGAAAAAAATTAAATAGACAGAACAGAGCGTTCTAACCTTAAACGGGGCTGTTGTTCTAGTGGTTAGTGACTCTACTACTAAGTCGGGTGTTCGATTCCCACCTTTTTCTTAGGTGGGAATCGATAATTTCACGATAAAAACGATCATTATTTTGTGTTTGAATGTAACTTGTATATAATATGAATGTTTTTAGCAGGCTGATTACTACAGTACAGGCTCTGCATATTTTGGGATCAAACTGCCATGCGTGAGATGTGTGAAGTTATTATTATAATTATTCTTAAACTCTCCTTTGACTAAATATGATTCAACAGAATACTGGCAAATATCCCACTTCAAACATAAAGAGCAAATATAAAGATCACAAAAATCCGTTAATATTATTTTTTATAAAGTCTTTAGAAGAATTGCTTTTATGTTAAAAGTAATGTAAATTGAATTCTAATTTCTATGTAAATTGAATTGGAGCAAATTCCTTTCGTCTTTACTTTCAACCTTTTACTTACAAATCCGTGAAAGACATATTTAAATGTTTATTTAATTTTTTATCTTGGCACGATATATTATCATAGCGATAACAGTCTGCTCCAATTTCAAGTACCTCGGCTCCCTCTTACAATGTGATAGTGAGATTGATCGAACTGTACAGCATCGAATCAATACGGGATGGATGAAGTGGCGGCAGGTAACGGGAACAACTTGTGACCCCAGTTTCCCCTTAACACTAAAGGGCCAAATCTATAAAACTATTATCAGACCTGCCGTCCTGTATGGTTCTGAAAGTTGGCCCGTTAAGAAAACGGATGAGAGACGTCTGAACGTAGCCGAAATGCGAATGCTGAGATGGATGTGTGGTGTGACTCAGATGGACAAGGTTAGGAATGAGTATATACGAGGGAGTCTGAAAGTAGCGCCACTGGATGAAAAGTTAAGAAGTAATAGGTTATCTTGGTATGGACATGTCATGCGGAGGGATGAGGAAAATGTGGCAAAGAAAGTTTTAGGTATGGGAGTTGAAGGGTACAAGAGAAGAGGCAGACCGAAAAAAAGGTGGATGGACTGCGTGAGGGAGGATATGGCTAGGAAGGGAGTAAACAGTGAGATGACGCATGACAGAGTAGAATGGAAAAATCATACATACTGCGCCGACCCCAAATAAAATTGGGAAAAGGGTAGGCAGATGATGATCTTGGCACGTAACTTTAACTACAACGGTTGGAAAAAAATTCCTTACAGTTTTTTTTAATTGTATTGCGAGAGAAAATACTTTTTGAATGTGTTTCCTCCATAGAAATTAATATGTAAAGCAAACTCTTTTCTTAAAGGTTTGAAGGTCGTCGTGTATTAAAGGTATTAGTCCCAACAATTCCTCGGAGCACTCGCCATGATATATAGCGGTCCAGAGGGAGAAGCTGGTACTGACGTGCCCCTGTAAAGAGATGACAACAGTATTCCATATGAGGCCGGACTTGCGCCTTATAGAGTTGAAGGCGGTGGTGGTGAGCTTTTTCGAGGCCAATTTGACCTTACCCTCTAAGTGGCCCCGAAACTGAACTTTGCTCGATATGTCGATGCCTAGGATTCCGATATTGACTGAGGCAGTTAGGGAGGTGCTTTCAAACCGAGGTGATACGACAAATTGTATCTTCTTAGCGGTGAACGCACAGACCTGTGTCTTTTTTGGGTTGAACTGGACTTGATTTATTCGGCCCCAATCTGAAACTCCGGCTATGGGAGTTTCAATTTCAGACACAAGTTCGTTTCGACTCTCGATGACGTTTCCCGAGAAATATTGCAGCGGCCGGTGTAAAGGGCATTTCCCGTACTATCATATGCATAGCAATGGATGCCGACGTCTCTTTTGGGCTTTTGGACCTTACACCGGTGTGTCCAGGTTGCCATCCTTTGTGGAGCGTTGTTTATGTTGTTGTTTTAAAAAATCGTTAAGGGGGGTGTGGCGGACTACAAGGCTCATGAAGATCAAGTAAGGTCACACTCGAAAAAGTAAATCCAATTAAGATGTTCAGTTAAAATCAGTTCAGAGGTTCAGTTCAAACCGAGTACTTTCTTTCATCAAGAAAGAGTTTGTTTGACTACGAAACTTCTTTCATTGTAGAGAAGAATTGAGAAAATAAAAAGAGAATTTGTAAGAGCTAAAGTTCTGGCTTTCTTGCCTGTCACGTTTATTTAATTCAAAGGTTCAAAGGACAGATGTTAACATGCTACCTCCTACACATAGCATATCACTATTCTATAACTTTTGTCAGTCAGTCGGATT